AGCATCAGTATCAACTAATATGTACTTTTGTTGGAAAGAGTATTCAGGCAGAAGTGTGAAGAGACAGAGACCACGTTCCCTGTTATGTTTGGTAAAGGTGCACAGGATTTTATGAAGACCTGAAAGATATGACCACCAGGATGCTTTTACAGACACATCATCAAGAGCTTGATTTTGGAATAATGTCTGTTGCACTTTCAAATGAATATATTGAATGTGGGTAGTAAGGTAAATTAGGTATTGTGGATGTGATGTAGAGAGTTTATCAATAATGTTTGAAGGGAGGGAAGGGAGATCTTGATTTTTCAAGTTAGTGATGAAATGGTTTATAATGGTGTTGATGTGTTTTTTGGGTAAAGGAAATTGATGAATCTTAAATAATTTATAATTTATCCATCTTTTAAGTCAGTTATTGAGATTTGTTGTTATGTGGTTTTGACAATTTGTAACATATTGCTGTGCAGCAGAGGAGAGAAGTTGTCCTAATGATTTTTTATTTGTCCAACTCATTCCTTGAGGTCAATATTGTGTATAGAGGGTATCTCAAATATTATTTATGATGGGTTCATTGGTGGTTTCAGGGGTGTTTTGGGATGTAGTTACAGCTTGGAAACATTGCCTCATATACTTGAAAGCACCTTCACTTGTGTTGAAAGGAAATTGATCACCAAGGGTCACATGATAAAGTGCTGTTTGGTTAGCCAATCAAGAGCCTTCAAAAACAATTTGAGTCATTCTTTCAACAGCTCTTTGGATTGCAGGCTCAAGATCTTTATCTTTAAGGAATCTTCCAAGTCCAGTTTTTATGTGCATTGTTTGTATTTTGTGATTTTTTCTTGAACAGATTTGGATGCACAATGTTTTTGAAATTTACAAAGGTTGCTTGAAGAACATGAATGATCAGTCCCCTTACAAGTTGGACAAGAACATTCTAGATATTTAAAAAAATATATTAAGTGGATATTCCTAAAAAAATAAAGGCAGATAAATGGTAAATATTTACTTGATTTTTTTTGTTGTTGTTCTTTGTTTATGTCCTCATTTGCTTTTCTTTTAGCTGCATTTTTAGAAGATTCTGCATATGGTATATCTGTTTCTATATTAATATTTTTGCATTTTTTTGCAAGAATCTCTATTTTGTCATTATTGGGAGCTTTTCATTTGCTTGTATGTATTAACATTGAAATGATAAAACAGAATTAACAAAATTCTAATCATGAAAAAAAATGGTTGAGAAAAAAAGTTGTTTTTTTGGTTTAAAATGGATGATGATATTGTATTATTTGCTAAAGGAAATTGGAAGGAAATTGAATAAATTTTTTTTTTGAAAAGATTGAAAAAATCACATCATTTGTTTACTTTTTATAAGAAAAGCGTCATTTTATTATTAATTAATTGACAATTGAATTGATTATTTATTTATCCCTGTTGGGATAAAAATATTGTTACCAGAATTAAACTTTGACAAAGATCTTTTGGCCAAATCTCTTAATTCTGGGACAATTTAATCTCTATTTTTATTTATTTTATTATTATTTTCTAATTGTTTATTGTTTACGTCCCATATATTTAATTATCTCGTAACATGTTAATATTTATTTAATTTTATTTAAACAAAAAAAAGAAAAATACTCCACCACCAGGGTGGTCGTGACATGGCAAATGTTTGTTTCTTGTTAATTAAATATTTTTTTTTTAAATAACAAATGAATGAATTCCAAATTGTTTTTCTAGTGGTGATGCTAATACTAAATCAATAATGGATTAATTTCTTGCTGGTATTTTTAGTAGTAGGAGAGGATTTTTTTCAAAAAAAGCTTAATTAATTTTCTTTAACAACACATTTTTGGAAAAGGCTTGATTTTAATCAAGTGATTTCTTTTTCATTTTTTTTTTTGCTTATAAATACAACCTCTGGACGTTTTAAAAGAAGATTGTGAGAGTGATCATGATCATGATCAAATGATTTATACAATGCAATCAATTTTGTGAAATGAAAATTTTCCTTTTCTTTTGAAAATTTCCAGAGAGAGATAGTATCATTGCCAATTCTTTCTAAATATTACCAATCTTTTCTAAATTGTCACAAAGTATGTTGCACTGATTTGATTGAGTTGTATTCTTTTGTTAAAGAGAAAGAATAAAATGTTATATACAGTCAAACTCCCTAAGTGCACTCCCCTTGGGAATGAGTGGGAGCATGCATTTAGGGAGAGTGTGCATTTTATTGGCTGCACATATTGGTGACTCGTGCAACACTAATAAATTACAAAAAAAAATTCAAGACATGAATCTATATATTGTAATTTGTTCCATTGTATTTATTTTTTTTTAATTTAATATATTTTTTAAGAGAATTAACTGATTTTGCTTGTTCATTGTATTACAATTTGTTAACTATGACAGAAATAGGTTGATAAGAATGTTAGTTAAAATGGTTTTTGAAAAAAATCAATTTTGGTAAGCAACTTTGGATTTACAATATTCTTTGTATCAATAGACATAAAAAATCTATCCAGCCTTTTGATATTTAATTAAAGAGTCCAAATAATTTCAGATATAATTTTGGCAACTAATAAAATTAACTTCAGCATTTATGAAAACTATTTCACCATTATTAAGAGAGCTAACAATGCTTACACTTGACTCAATTGGGTGACTTTTTGATGCAATTAATTGATTCATATGAAAACATATAAGTAATTGAGTCAAAACATAATTACACAATTAAAAATTGAGTTTTTGGGAATTAAGTCAAAGCCAAATTAATTGACAACATGTAATTTCTAAGGTTACACGATTAACAATGCATAAAATCACGTGAAAGTCACGGACGTGCATTAAGGGAGGGTGGTTTATATAGTTGGAATGAAAAAAGACCGTGCAATGCAGGTATAGAGGGATGCACTTATCTCTTAAGTCCCAAGCTTGGGAATGAGTGAAGGCGTGCATTTAGAGAGCTTGTGCATTTATGGGGGTTGACTGTATAAGCTAAAATTACAACATATTTATCCATTAAAAAATTTTGATATTTATTAAAATATATGTACATATTTTGATTTGCTGATCAAAAAGAATGTATTAATAAATAAATTTCAAGTTTTAAAATGTCCCAATAAAATAAATAGATAAATTGTTCTAATAAATTGTTCTAATAAATTGTTCTAATATAAATGTAAACATAAATATATTTATATATAATCTATAATTTACAAATACATCTTAATTGTTTTTTTTCTTCCCTCATCTATAAATATAATAACTATATTATATTAATAAATATTGATTACCATCATTATTATCATCAACAACATTGTCATCACCAATATCATCAACGTTATCATAAATATTATTTTCAATAATAATATTATTATTATCATATTCAAAATAATCATCATATTCATCGTTTTCATCGTTGTTGTCTTGTAAAGTTTTTAATATTTCCAATTCCTTTTCCAATTTTTTAATTTTAATATTTCTCCAATTTTTACTAATGTTATTATTATTGTTTCCACCACCATCATCATAATCATCATAATCATCATCCAATAGTCTAAAATTTAAAATTTCACCAATTCCCTCTTGCATCAAAGATCTCAACATCTTACCTTCACTTTGTGCCTTAATCAACAATCTTTCCAATTCATCTGATTTCTTTAATGATTTATCTAATAATCTTGACTTATTGGTTAATTCAAGTTTCAAACTCGACATTTCTTTCTCTAACGTCGCCACTTCTTGGCTCGAATCCTTCAATCGTTGCTCTGTATCATCAGCTCTTTTATTAGCTATTACCAATGTTTTTTGTACTTTATCAAATATCATTTGTTGTTCTTTCAACACTTGTTTTAATTGATTTATTTGTAAATTTTGTAATTTAATTGTTCTTAAATTTTGTTGTTGCTGTTCATTATGTTGATCACGATCATGAACATGAACATTTGTATCTTTGTTTTTATGTGCTGATGATACGATGGAAAGAGCAGTTGAAGCAGATGTGTTTTCATATTTTTGTAGTTTTGCTTTATAATACGCTACTTCGTCTAATGCATCTATACGAGACTTTTCACTTTCTGAAATTTTTTGTGATGCTAATTGTGACTGAAGTTTTATATTTGTCTTTTTTTTTTTGCGAAAAAAGATTAATCCGTTAATTCATTCATAATAATTCATAATTATATTAAAAAATAAAAAAATAAAACCAAACCTTGTAGTATTTTAATTGTTGTTTCATCTTTACAATAACATCGACTATTTTATATTTATCTGATCCAACTTCAAGATTATTCATTATTTCTTCAACATTTTGTAAATAATCATTATCACCATCATCAACAACATTAACTATCTTTTTTTCTCCGCTACCATTACCACACGAATTAAATTCTAATTCTTTAGTCGACTTCATAAGATTTTCTCTTTTTTTTGCATCAATTATGTTTTGCTTTTGTTTTTCTAATTCACGGAAAAATTCGTCATTTTCTAAAGTCCTTGATGTTGTCGGTAATGACGATGAAAGTTTGGATATTGTATTTTTTTGTTGTTGTCTATTGTAATTATATTGCTGACGAGATTGTTGGTATTGTTGTTGTTGTTGTTGATTTAGATTATTATAATAAATATTATTATCTGATATTGTCCTAGTGTGACTATTTTGATGTAAAGGTGATGGTGACATAATAGGTGATGATGATATAGAAGGTGATCTTGGTGATTGATTAAATGATGATGTACTACTTCTTCGTAACTTTGAACGTGGCGGAATAGGCTCAGTATTTGCACTTAGTGAAGATGTTATCATATTATTATTAATATTGGTAATAGGAACAGCAGCAATGGCAATGGCAGAAGAAATGGCAGTGGTTGTTGTTGATTTCAGTAGATAATTATCATCATTTTGGATAGACGACGATAAAATTGTTTGCTGTTGTTGTTGAATATGGTGATTATGTATTGGAATTATCGGACTTTCAGGTATAAGGACTTGTTCAGTTTTACTTCCAACTATAATTCCAACATCAACATTATTAACGTTGTTATTATTCATACGAATGGGTATAAAAATTGTTTTTTTATCTAATGGACGAGCACCACGTGGTCGTTGCTGAATATTGTTGTTGTTGACGGGGGAACCTTCTCGTAATTTTTCAAAACTACTTTTTTTCGACAACGTGCCACTGCCCTCAACACTGCTGTCATTTTTTTCCATCTGATGATTGTGTTGTTGATATAATTGAGAATCTTGTAATGGTAATGTTCGAGTTATATTATCATCATTGTTTAATACTGGATTTTGATCTTCTTCATTTTCATTGTTATCAATGCCATTACCAATACTATTATCACTGCCATTATCAATAATATTAAAATCATTATTTTCAATTATCACCGCATTTCTAATATTTCCTCTTAAACTTTTTGTGAGATTCGATTGGTTGTTTGGTATTTTGCCATCAAATGACACTTTACCAGGTGTATTCGAATATTCGACATATGTTTTATGTGGCTTATAATTATCGTGTTCCTTTATCTCTACAGTGTTTGATTTTGTTGTTCCTGACAACTTTAAAATTGTTGGAAGTTTTGATTGTTGATTATTATTATTATCATAATTGGTGATGATATTATTAATATTATTATTTATTTTTAGACTTTCAAGGTTTGTTGAGTTAAGAATGTTTACGGGAGAATTATCATTTGTTGTTCGTTGATGAGAATTTGAATTAAAACTGTTTTTTCTTGCATGTGATTTTACAGGTGGTTGACGTTGAAATTTTTGTTGCTGTTGTTGAGCCTGTTGCTGTTGTTGAGCTTGTTGTTGTAATTGAGCTTGTCGTTGAGTCTCTTGTTGAATTTGCTGTAATTGAGCCTGTCGTTGAGCCTCTTGTTGAGCCTCTTTTTGAATTTGCTGTAGTTGAGCCTGTCGTTGAGCCTCTTGTTGAATTTTCTGTAGTTGAGCCTGTCGTTGAGCCTCTTGTTGAGCTTGTTGTAATCGAGCTTGCTGTTGAACCTCTTGTTGAGCCTCTTGTTGAATTTGCTGTGATCGAGCCTGTCGTTGTTGAGCCTCTTGTTGAGCCTTATCTTCATCATCATCATCATCTATTTGCTCATCTTCGTCATCATATTGTTCATCTTTTTGCTCATCTTTTTGTTGAGAATCATCATCATCGTCATAATAACTACCGCTACTAATACTACTGCTACAACTGTTATTAATATTATGATCAATATTATATTCCACCACTTTTTGTTTACCTTTAACATCTTTATTAGTTGATGATAATTTGAGGATAGATTCTTGACTAGACAATAATATTGCTTCTTCTAATACAGGAGAAAGTTTTGTTTTTTTTGGATATGGTGAACTAGAAGAACCAGAGATGATTTCTTGTGATAATTGTTGATCTTGATTTTGTTGATGACCTTTATTATTAGTACCATTGCAATTACCATTATTTATTGGTATAGGTTGTGAAGATAAAGATATTGATGATGAAGATTTTGATGATGTTGTTGATAATGTAGAAGCTAATGATGATGTTGATGATGATTTCATTATATTCGATGATGACATTTTTTGAGACTTTGTTGTAATAACAGAAGATGATGAAGAATCTGATGAATTATGTCGTCTACCTGAAGTATTATCTCCGGATGGAAATTTTATTTTTGCTATATTATATTTATAAAGTTAATTAATAAGGCTAACTACTAATAAATAAATAAATAAATAATCTAAAGATATATGTATAACAATATTATCTTACTTGTATCTAATATATGGACTATTCCTTCGTTATCTGGTCTGGGATCTTTTTTTGAATCCCCACCAAAAACTAAAATATTATTTTTAACTTTTGATACAGTTATACCATATCTAGGACACGGAGATGGACTCAGTTTAGGGAACTTGTACCATCTTTTATCTATAAAAAAAAAAAAATAACGAACAAATGAATGATTTATTGAGGTTAAAAAAAAAATTTTTTTTGAATTATTTACATATAATCAATTAGTCAACTAACTTGTTATTCTGAACGCAGCCAAATCTCCCAAAACCTCTCCTTCTTCTGATCTTCCACCAAAAATATAAATCACATCGTTCATTATAGTCGCTCCATGACCTTCGCGTGCTTGAGGAGTATATCCTGAACATTCTAGTTCATCCCATTGATTTGTCTTTACATCATAACACCAGATGTCATTATAACATTTAATTTCATCAGTTCCACCGAACCTAAAAATATAGCATTTAATTTATTAACTTCTCATCTGATGTAAATATTATTTAGAATTAGTAATTAGTTGATAAGCATATTATTGAAGAGTAGAGTAGCACATATCACATTATTTGTACTGCCCCAAGAGGTATAAATACACTTGACTTTAGACCAAGTTAATAGAATAATTAATAAATCAATTGTTAATATTGTTAATAACAACCTTGATAACAACAACATAATAATAACTCTTAATAAATATATAACCTTACATAAAATAGTCTTTGACTGTAAATAACTAATAAACCCAGTGTGGTTGACCCCCCAGCCCTTCTAATGGTTAATGGTCTGGCCAACCTTTAATTATTAGTTGGGAACCCTTTTAATTATTCAGATACATCTCAAGGGGACGCCTTTGGGATATAATCATTTACATAGAACCCAGGGACCCTTTTACCCAGGAGGATAAAAGTTATTTTATTATTAATCTTTGACTGTAAGTCAGCAAGTAGGCTGTGTGTCAAACAATAGAATCAACTGTAAGTCGGTGAGTAGGCTGTGTGTTGAGCTATAAATAACCTATTGGTTAGGAAACTCAGATTGCACACACATTAATATTTATTTAATTTTATTTAAACAAACAAAGAAAGATACTCTGCCATCAGGGTGGTTGTGACTATACATGCAGCCCAAATTGGTTTGGTGATTTTGAAAGTAGAAATTAATTACGGCATTCACTATTAAAAACATAAGTGTAACACCTCTTTACTACATGTGTAACCCCCCTTTATGACAGTGTCAAAATACTTTGGGCTGCATGTATAGTTGTGACACTGCAAATGTTTGTTTCTTGTTAAATTAAATATATTTTTTTTAAATAATAAATGAATGAATTCCAAATTGTTTTTCTTGCTAATACTAAATCAATAATGTATTAATTTCTTGCTGGTGTTTTTAGTAGTAGGAGAGGATTTTTTTCAAAAAAAGCTTAATTAATTTTCTTTAACAACACATTTTTGGAAAAGGCT